ATATATATATATATTTATTTATAAATACATATTACCAACTGATATATGAAAGTCAAGTTCATAATTTCCCTAAAAATGAACGAACTGATTATAGTCAAAACAGAATGTTGTTTGTACAATTTATGTGAATAGCAAAACAGTTAATTATTGTTAGAAATGTAGTGAATTTTTAGTTAGAAAAATTGTTACCTCTATCAATAATTAAGTAAATTATACTTAACAAACTACACTTGACTCGGAATAAAAAAGTTCAAGCAAAAAAGTGGTTATAAAGAAGTGTAGTAGACACATAAATTAGGTAAAAGTTTCATCAACATTTTCACATTTCTATGGGTTAGATTTTCTCTAGATTAGAATTGTCTTTCCTATGTAAAAGGCAGTAAAGCTTTGGGAATAGAATGGTCTATCCAACGCAAAAATATGATGGAACCACTCGATGGATACGTTTGAAATTTCCTCCTTCAATCTCCTTTGGAACGTTGTTAAAGACTCTTAGTCGGTCGCGCCGTATCCAATGGTGCTTTGACTCCGAGGTGGTTGGTCACACATACTTTAGTAGATAAAACAGTAGACTTACGGTAACATCAACTTTGTCTCTGGGTGCATTTTTCCCACCGTATCCAATGGTGCTTTCCTTCCCGGTTGATCGGTTTCACAGACCGTAGTCCACGGGCAGCAGACTCTGGTAACATCAAAATTTTCTCTCTGTTATTTTATTTTATTGGTAGACTGATGTTTTATTCCAGCATACCTGTAGAAATGTATATGAAATGTATAGATACTCAGGTGATTGTGATTATAAATAACGAGGCAAAGAGGCCTATGTTTCAATACTTAAAGAAGTTGCAACCATTAGTCAATAAATCACTTTTGCCAATCTCTAAAACTCACAGTTCGTCTTGTTTCTATTGACATTGTTGTGAGCAATGACGCTTCCACTCTTTTCTTGGCTTTTCCCGTTACTTCTTACCACAATTTTCTATGAGATCAATGTGGTTTTGGTTTCTGGTCACTGTCAAAGCGACCAGCATGGATTGCTGATTCAATTGAGGAACAAGCTCGACTTCTATTCCTCCTCATCTCTGAAACTGGTGAAGTGGAATCAAAGCCTAGATTGCTGCATGTGGAAAGGTGTAACATGTGATGTCAGAGGTCGTGTTATCGATCTTGATTTGAGCAATGAATGGATTTTTGATGGAATTGACGATTCAAGCAATCTCTTCAATCTCCAGCATCTCCAGAGTCTAAATTTGGCAAACAACGACTTCAACTCCAACTTTCCTTCCGGGTTTGATAAACTTTTAAACTTGAGGCATCTTAATCTCTCAAATGCTGGCTTCACAGGGCAAATTCCAGTTGAGATTTCAAGGATGAAGAGCTTGGTTACTCTTGATTTATCTGTAGATGCCGATTTCTATCTTGGATTGAAACTTGAGAACCCAAATCTAGTTATGCTTGTTCAGAATCTCAAGGAGCTAAAGCATCTCTATCTTGATGGGGTAAATATATTAGCACAGGGAAATGAGTGGTGCCAAACGTTATCCTCTTTGGCTAACTTGCAAGTATTGAGCATGTCAAACTGTAATCTTTCAGGCCCCATAGATTCTTCCCTTTCCAAGCTTCAGTTTCTTTCAGTAATTCGTTTGGATGGAAACAATCTGTCTGGTCAATTTCCAGAGAAAATCTTCCAGGTACATGCACTAAGGACTCTTGATTTATCCGGCAACCTACTTCTTGAAGGATCTCTCAAAGAATTTCTTCCTGCTTCATCGCTTGAGACTTTGACGCTTAGCAGAACAAGTTTTGGGGAGACTTTACCAGAATCTATTGGAAACCTGGGGAGGCTGTCAAGGATAGAGCTTGCAAGTTGCCATTTTAATGGATCAATTCCAAAAGCGATGGCAAATCTCCCACAACTGGTCTCTTTGGATTTTTCATCCAACAATTTTTCTGGTTCAATCCCATCTTTTTCATTGGCAAAAAATCTTACTCAACTAAACCTTGCCCAGAATCACTTAACTGGCTCTATTCTCTCGACTGAATGGCCAAGCCTTTCCAAGCTTGTGAGTATTAATTTGAGAGATAATTCACTAAGTGGAGCTCTCCCTGCAACTTTGTTTGGCATTCCATCTTTGCAGAGTTTAGTACTCTCACAAAATCAGTTCACTGGTGGATTGCATGAACCCCCAAAACTAGCTTCCTCTTCATTGCACTCCCTTGAGTTGGATAGCAATATGTTGGATGGACCTTTCCCAATGTTCGTATTTAGACTACAAAGCCTTCAGGTCCTCATCCTTGCTTTCAATAATTTCAGTGGTCAATTAAATTTAAGTTCCATTTTGAACCTCGGGGATCTTTCTACTCTTGATCTCTCATTCAACAGCTTCTCCATCAATGCAACCATTTCTAATCATGCTTCTTTTCCTCAGATTCACACATTAAAATTGGCTTCTTGCAAGCTAAAAAGATTCCCAAATTTCTTGAAGGAGCAACCCAAACTATCAATTTTAGATCTTTCAACCAACCAAATTAATGAGGAAATACCCGATTGGGTTTGGACCGCTCAATCTCTTAGTTACTTAAATCTTTCTCACAACTTTCTAGTGAATTTGCAAGGACCTCTTCAGGTTTCCAAATTTTTTTCATTTGTCCTAGACCTTCGTGGCAACAAATTGCAAGGTCCACTACCACAGCTCTCACCATTTTCGACATATGTAGATTACTCGAACAACAATTTCAGCTCTATTATACAATTCGATGATGGTAATTTAATCGCCGGATACGCTTCCCTCTCCCTTAGCTCCCCTTCCTTCATCTTTCTTTCCAACAACAGCCTCCGGGGAAGGATTCCTGAATCAATTTGCAATGCTACAAATCTTGAAGTCCTTGATCTGTCAAATAATTATCTGAGTGGCATTATTCCTCAATGCTTAACTAGGATGGAGTCTCTTAAGGTGTTAGACCTAAGTAGAAATAACCTCAGTGGCAACATCCCTAGTAAATTTTCAAGTAACTCTTTATTACAAACACTAAACCTCAATGGAAACCACTTAGAAGGGAAGGTTCCTAGATCCTTGGCCAACTGCACAATCTTGGAGGTTTTAAACCTTGGAAACAACCTGATCAACGATACTTTTCCTTGCCATTTGAAGAACATATCTAGTTTGCAAGTCCTGGTATTGAGGCACAACAACTTTCATGGGCTAATTAGTTGCCCAGATGACAATTCCTCATGGCCACTGCTTCAAATTATTGATCTTGCTTCCAATCATTTTAGGGGAGAACTACCTTATCATTGGTTACAAACCTGGAAGGCAATGATGGTTGCCTCAAATGAGTTCAAAATCCTTGTTCTTAAGGATCATTTTGAAATTAATTTTGAATTTAATGTCGGTGGAATCTATGAAACATTGTATCCTGATGGAGGAAGTACTCTCTACAAAAAACATTGGGAGGGTTGGGAGGGCACCGATATCTCTCAAGTATTCTATTATCAAGATGCAGTAACCATTACCATTAAAGGTTCTGAGAGACAATTGGTGAAAATCTTAAGTCATTTTACCTCCATCGACTTTTCATGTAACAAGTTTGAAGGGCAAATAGCAGAGGTTTTGGGAGAGTTTAGGGCACTCTATGCCCTCAATTTGTCACATAATGGTTTCACAGGTTTAATCCCTTCATCTCTAGGAAATTTGCAATATCTTGAGGCTTTAGACCTTTCTAGTAATAACTTGAGTGGTCAAATTCCTCAGCATCTAGGAGATCTTAATTTCCTTGCAGTCCTTAACCTCTCATACAATCAACTCGAAGGAAGAATCCCAAGTGGAAGTCAATTTCGAACATTTTCAGAAGATTCCTTTAAAGATAATAAGGGATTATGTGGAATGCCCCTGAAGGAAAATTGTAGTGTTAGTGTATTGCCACCATCCAAAGACAATCATTTAGATGATGGAACCCATATTGACTGGAATTTCCTAAGCGTTGAATTGGGATTTGTTTTTGGCTTGGGAATTGTCATTCTACCACTTATGCTATGCAAGAGATGGAGGGTGTGGTATTGCAAATATACTGATGGTCTTCTTTCCAGGTTCTTCCCTCTATTGAATCAAAGAAGTAGAAGTCGTGGCACCAAAACACAGTTGAGGAACAAGCAGCGGTGAGGATCATTGCGAGCACTATTCTTTAAACTTTAATCTATGTGTTATGTGCCTGCACTTTTCAATATCAAAACTTGTCATCGTTACAAAGTCACATGTGATTTATGTTTTGCTTTGCAGTGATGTGTTGTATTATTATGTTTTTAGCTAAGGATATATCTCATGGTTAAAAATTATTTTAGTATTTGGTAATTATTTTATCAATAGTGAATGTGTTATTGTCAATTTTAATTTTTGATAATAATAATAATAATTATTAAAGAGCATATTTAAAATTATATTAAACTTTATTATATGTGAAAAATGTCTACCAATTGTCTTTGTAAAAAATATAGCACAAAAATACTTTAAAACTATATTATTTTAAATATCTTAAAAAGTATTAAAAAAGACTAAAATAGTCTCATTTATATT